ATTTCCCTATTTTGTAAAACTTTTTAAAAAACTAATTCAAAAATTTATTCAATAGTCAGCCATATCCTCTGCTTGTGGTTTTCATTCAGCAAGCCTGGCCAGTTGTGTTGGTTATATCTTATTTGGCTTCCAAATTCCCTTTAACCACCTTTTCTGGCCTGGCTGGTGCCTCCGGAGGTTAACCCTTTGGACTGCATCTTGTTAGTAAGCATCCATTGGGCTTGCCAGTAAGAGCCATGCCCAGAGAACAGATTATATGAGAGAGAAGGAGAAGCAAGGCTGGAGGATTTTTTCCCTGCTTGTTTCCTGTGTCATGTCCCTCCAAATGGCTCTGTTCCTTCCAGGGGACAGCAGCTCCCTGACAACCCAGGCTCTCACAGGGAGAGGTGGTAACAGCTTCCTTCTCTCACAAGTCTCTGGGAGCCTTACCCCATGTTTATGTCCTCAGTAAGTAGTCCCTTTACTTAAGCCCCATCATCTGAAAAAAATGAGGGTGGATTCTGCTTCCGGCTTAGATCTTGACTAAACTGCCAACTTAACCTTGGCAAGTGCAATTTACCAATTAGATCCCCCCTCTAGTTCAGTGGTTCTCACTCTTTGCTGTGCATGGAGATCACCTGGGGAGCTTTAGCACCTATGATCTGTCCCCAGAAGTTCTGCTGTAATTGGTCTGGAAAGTGGCCTGGGCATCAGGATTTGAAAAATCCCTCCAGGTCATTCGACTGGGCGGCCAAGGCTGATAAGCACTGCTCCAGCCTCATATACCGCCTGTGCAGGAAGGAGGATTCTAACACATAATGAAAACAACTTCCTATAGCCTGTGTTCTATTTCTTACTTTCTTACAAATTATTGCAGTCTTTATTCTAAAGGGATGTTGTTTTTTACTTATTCACAAAAGCACTTTTAATCAAAGTGGAACAATTTTAAACACATTTACATAACCGTAAATGTTCAAAACAAAGAACAGATATTTCTAGGAAGCATAGAAATCCACTATACATACTTTGATTTTGAATAGGGTGTGTGCAAGGGTGATGGCAGTGGCCGCTGCCATCATGCTGGCTGCAGCAGGGAAGCACAGCTGGGAGCCCCGTCCTTTCTGAGTTGGGACAGGAGTTCCCATGCCGCTACAGCCACCCAAACCACAGCTGCAGACCCAGGCCTCCTGCTCTAGGGAGCAGGAAGGAGCCCACCCTACTGGGTGAGGCTACAGCTGCCCAAACTGCAGCTGTGGATCTGAGCCCCCCTGTGCTCTTGAGAGAACCGGGAAGGGGAGCCGAGGACAAGTGGGAGCCCTGCCTCTTCTGAGTTGAGGGGGTGGGAGCTCCCGGCTGCAACTGTGCTGCCTTCCCACGCACAGGACCTAGGCATCTCTGCAGCCTACACCCTCGGATGCCCCAGGAAGGACCCCTGTCCCTGCAGCCTCAGGGGTGTCTGCTCCCACTGCTTGGCTTCTCTCTGCTCCCAGCACTCGATTCAATCTCCCAGAGGGGTTGGGGCCAAGTCCCGGCAGGAGGCTGACAGAGTAATGGGCGGAAGGAAGTGGGTCCCCAGTAAGGCCCCACCATCAGGCCACGGAGAGCCTGAAGAATAGGGAGGGGCTGGGCGGCCAGTCCCATGGACTGGAGTGGGAACTCGTGTGCCTCTTCCAGGCCCACCCGTGGCTGCTCATGGGCCAATTGGCATGCATTTCCTCCCTTCTGAGGTCCATAAAAGCCCTGGGCTCAGCCAGAGCAGGACAGAGGACCGCCAGAGGACAAAGAGGGCAGGGAGATCATGGGACCAGAAGACCAGCTGCAGAGGAGTATCCTCTCCGCTGAGAGCTGCAAAGACGACCTGCCAGCAGAGAGAAGCTACCTACTCATCTGAGATGGTTCTAACACTAAATAATTAAACTCTTCTTCACCCTTCACTTGTGTACCTCATTATTCCTGGATGCAGAACAAGAATTCGGGCAAAGGTGCTGTGGCCACAGAGGTTCCTAGCCAGAAAAAAATCAACACTCCAGAGCTCCCCTAACAAGGGTAAGTTTTTCAGGAAGATAAAAAGAGAATTAAAGAACCATTGGGGGATATCACAAGATTAAAAAAAAATCACGGGACTATTACCTGTTGAAAAACTACTATCTTACAAATATAATAATCGAAATTCTAGTGCTACATAATTAACTCATGCCAGGTCCGTGACTGATCTGGGTTTGCCAATCTTCTCTGAGAAGGAACTAGATTAAAGCACTCACAGCTTCCAGCACATTAAAATAAGCAGTGGCTACAGGCCTCATGAGAACCTTTCAAGTGTTTGATGTTTAAAACACCCTTGCCATTTGGCAGGTTTTAAGATACAAGAGAACTTCAACCACACTGTTATTTTAAAATGCAATTGCTTTCTAAACACTATTTGGTGATGGTGATAGAATTTAATATTTTTGAGAAAGAACTGATTCTACAAAGGCTTTTCTTATTTTGAGGGTCCCAGGGATGTTGCATCTAAATCAATGCTGTGCCTTACCGGTCAGCTATTGCTACATTAGTCTCTGGCATGCAGCAAATGAGTGAGCATTTATTTCTCACTCACGGTTTGTGAGTCACGAAGGCAGGTCAGCTGGGGTGAATCATTTTTCTCCTGGGACAGTGAGCAGCCCAGGTTTATTTCTTTTAACAACCCATTAGCCAAAGAAAGCCACATGGCCATCCTCACATTCAAGGGTGGGGGAAATACATTGCATCTTTAGTGGGAAGGACTGCAAGTTTACATGGCCAAAGTTGTGGATACAGGGAGAGATTAAGGATTGGGGCCAATAATTCCTCTAGACTCCGTCCCTAAAGTAAAAGTCTGTCTAAGATTACATCTCAATCGTGTATTTACAAGTAGAACGTCTTGCTCTAGAGTGATGTCATTGACAAGTTCTAGAACTCTGGAGGTAAGATGACTTTTTGTGTCCAGACAGATGGCAACACTCATCCATAGGCTGCCACAGGGCAAGGTGGGCGATGCTGGCTTTTCTTGGCCTACCCCCAGAATACCAAAATGATCTCCAAAGAAGTAATCAGGTTTAAGGGGAGGAGGAGAGAATTGAACAGGTGGTGCATGGAGAATTTTTTGGGCAGTGAAACTGTCCTGTATGATACTGTAATGGTGGATACATGGCACTATGCTTTGTCATAACCCGTAGAACTTTATAGCACAAAGAGTGAACCTCAGTGTGTGTGAATTTTTAAAAAATCATTTGGGAGATCAGGGATCCCATTTGGGACTCCCAAGGTGTAGAGATAGGTCAAAAACTTAAGACGCACGCACAGACATGTCTGCAGTAGCTAAAAACTTAAGTCTTACACAGAACTTTGCTACCAAATTTGAGGAAGACAAATAGCATAAAAACAATGTTCGTGGGTGATCCACACCTTGAATCAATAGAATTTTATTAATTGTTATGAAATAAAGTTACTTAGACTACAAGAGTCTACGCTATCAGAAATACAATGGCACTCCCATCGTGATCCAAGTCCTGCCTCCTTGATCTCTTTCTGTATGTCTTTTCCCTGTCCCCGGCCAACTTACTATGTATGTGACAACCACTCCACCGTCTTCCAGTTCCTAGAACACCAAAATTGTTCCTGTCCTAGGGCCCTTGCCTTGTTGTTCTCTAAGCCTGGAGAGGTCTTGCCCCATCACTCCATGTGGCTGGTTCCTTCTCCTCTTGAAGTTTCAGCTCAAGTAGGAGCCTCCTGGTAGCTCCATTGCTGTCTTTCACTAGTGCATTATCCCCAACCCCTAAAGCCCTGCCTGGCATATAGTAGGTGCTCAATAAATATTTGTGGACCAAAGGGGCTACTCATGTATTAGTATTTGGCTCAGGGCCCTGATGGAGTATGGACCTCTGCTTTGGAATGAATGCTGTGCAGACAGTCAGGAAGTCCCACACTGCACACACTAAACCAAGAGAGAGTCCATGTAAAGCTGCTGGGTGGCCACTGCGATAGCTCCCAGCACTCTAAGAAAGGCATAAAGCAGCTTGATGCTCAAGTATTGGCCCAGATCTGCAAAGGACATTGGGGTGGGGAGATGCTCAGCTGATAAGTCGAAAACTACCCCTGTCTAAAGCAGGGATGGTTGGGATATGATTGCCTTGGTATAAAATGGAAGCAGAATATAGGACAGGCCCAAACCCGGGCTCAAAAAAGAAAAAAACAAACCCCAGAGTAACAACAGCAACAAAATCTTGCTGCTATGGGAAACCTAGAGGGCGAGCTCCTTCTCCATATGAGCCCTGCTGGCAGCTGTGTGTGTGTGTGTGTACACACATGCATGCACAAGAGCACGAGCAGAGGATGTAGTGAAAAGTACAATGTGAAATGAGGAAATAAAGGGTACCTTCTCAGTCAGCAGCCGTGGGAGGAACGGGGAAGTAAAAGGTTCTGGGAGCATAGAGGTTACATTTTATATATTGGGGGAGAAACCCAAATGTTGTAATGATCACGTGTGATAAAAACTACTAGTATCATGAAAAACAGTATATTTCCAAAACTAACATTAGAGGGGAAAATGAAGAAAATTAGGAAAAGTAAAACTGGAAAGAAAAAACGGCAAATAGCAAGCAAAAATGACGCAGAAAACAAAATCCAGTAGTGAAGCATCACAGTTGCTCTGTACTGGCTAAATTCTCTGAAGACAAACAGTGTCATGTTAGTCATGAAATAAAAGCCAGGCAATTTATTTCTAGAAACATACTGAAACAAAGTTACAAAGACAGATTGGAAATGAAGACAAGGACACACTGAGCAAATGCAAAGGTAAAACCAAAACCAAATCAGCACCAATAGCAACATTAATATCAATTAAAATGCAATTTAAAGCCAAAAAGCATTAACTGCGGAAGATGAATGATATATAATGGACAATGTTAATCAGTGAAGAAGCTCTGTATAAGTGATAAACCCTAATAGAATACAAAATATAGCAACCATATATGTAAAGCAAAAAACCCGGGACATACAAGGGAAATTGATAAAAATATATTTATTGTGGGAGGTTGCAATATTCTTTCAGAATAGAACAGTCCAAGTATACAATTAAAGATATAAGGGATTTCAAAAATACAATAAACTGTAATATTTCTCTTATATTCATGTAACACACAAATTAATCATATACTTGATTAATGGCATTAAATAAAACTTTAATTTCCCGAAAGCAGATTTTTAAACTTTCCTTCATTCAAAGAAGAGATATGGAATAAAATGATTTTTTAAATCTCGAATTATTGGGAAATTTAAAATTCTTTTCCACATAATTCCTAGTTCACAGGAGAAATCAAATTGAAACCACAAATTAAGTATCCAAAAGGGAAAAGAAAAAAAAAATTATATCCAAACCTACTGGATACAGCTAAAGCTATGTTCAGGGGAAAATTTGTAGCCTTAAATAATTTTATTATTTAAAAATAAAGCAAAGCAAAATACACAAACTCATGACTATCACAACATACTTGGAGTTATTTGCATCTTATTTTTTGTTGATAATTGAGAAAATGACTAGGAAGGTCCTCGTGCTTCCATTGATTTTCAGATTTTCTTCATTTGAACTATTTTCCCCTTTCATTTCTCCTTTTTGTTAGTGTCACAATGAGTACAAATAAAGCGATCAAGAATTTGTCTATCTGAAAAGTATAAAGAAAAACAGGATGAAAATTTCAGTTAAGTATTTAAATGCTAAATTGAGAACTTCTAGGAAGAAAATATTTGACAGTATTACTAAATACACAAATCTGATAAGAGACCAAAATAATCACAGGCTATTATATTTAATACCTAAACAGGCACAGCTGTATAATTATTGATTAAGAAGAGTAAACTTAATATTTAAGGGATTAGCAAACTTACTGGACAGACACAGATTTTAGAATGAAAGAGGCTTAAGTTTCAGTTGTGTGTTGGCAAGTGTTAGCAAATGATTTAGCCTTCCCACTTCCTCAGTTCGTCTTTGAATACAGGCAGCAGTACTTACTTTGCACCGACGTTGGAATAGATTAGGACACTGTGTGTGAAGCACCCAGACAGTGCCTGGCCCATCAAAAACAATAAATGGTCATCTTAGCCTTCTGTTACGGGGTCCGTAGCAGTAAACAGTGATGATAAACCATAGAGATTATTGTTCCAAATTTCACAGAAGCCAGGGCTGTTTTTGTACCCACCGACATTGGTAAGCTTTGCTGTCCTTGAATGGTAAATGTTGACCTTGAGAACGTCAAGACCTTGCGGAGGCCCTTCAACTCCCCTCCCTGGCCTCCGTTTCCTGATCTGTAACATGAAGGAGTCTTGTCTGGTTCTGAACATCTATGATTCCCTATTCCTGGTTATATATATACATATATATATATATGTACACACACACAATATATATATATACACATATACATAATATATGTATGTATACATATATATATACACATATGTATGTATACATATATTATGTATATATATACACATATATATATATATATACACACACACATATATATATATATTTTTTTTTAGATGGATTCTCACTCTGTTGCCCAGGCTGGAGTGCAGTGGTGTGATCTCGGCTCACTGCAACCTCTGCCTCCCAGATTCAAACTATTCTGCCTCAGCCTCTTGAGTAGCTGGGATTATAGGCATGCATCATCATGCCCAACTAATTTTTGTATTTTTAGTATAATCCCAGACTCCTGACCTTAAGTGATCTGCTCACTTTGGCCTCCTAAAGTGCTGGGATTACAGGCAGAAGCCACCGCCCCCAGCCCCTAATCATACATATTTTTAATCGTACAGAGTGAAGCTGTAAAACTTGTTCACTCCCAGCAGTTATTACCTGTGCAGCCAAATCCAAAAGGGAGTGAAAATACAAGTGGTGTTATGCTCATATTCAATGTTCATGTTATCCTGCTCAATGTCCCAAATGCCAGTGGAGGTCGATAGATCAGAGATGTCTGCATGTGCATGTGTGTGTGAGTGTGTATGTGTATGCGTGTATGTGCATGTGTGAGTGTGTTTGTTCCTGTTTTCTCTTTGGTTACGTCTTCATTTATTTGTTTTTGTGATTTCATGTTTAATTCTGAAGCATCCCTACCCTGTTCCATGCCTCGTCTCCAGTATTTTTTTAGTTGGTTATACTTTTCATAAAGTGAAATTCACTAATCTTTTGTGTACAGTTTGATGAAGAGACATATGCATTACTGTAACCTATGACCACAGGATGATAGAGATCATTTGTCCCATCCCAGAAGACCTTTCACGCTCCTTCCCCATCAACACTCCCTACTCCAAGACAGCCACTGTTCTGGTTTCTTTCATCATAGATGAGTTTTCCCTGTTGTAGATCTTCAAATAAATGAAATCATACAGAAGGTATTCTTTTGTGTCTGGCTTCTTTCATTCAGCAGGTTTTTGAGGTTCATACATTTTGTTGTATATATCAATAACTCATTTCTTTTTATTGTTGAGTGATATTTCATTATGTGAATATATCACGGTTTGTTTATCCATTTTCCTACTGATAGAGATTTGGGTTGCATCCAGTTTGAGGCTATTAAGAATAAAGTGATTATAAACATTCTTGTACATGTCCTTTTGTGGACATATGGTTTCCTTTCTCTTGGGCAAATATCCAGAAGTGGAATTTCTGGGTCATGGAGTAGGTATATGTTTAACTTTAGGAGAAGCTGCCAGACCTGCTTCCAAAGCGATTGTATTCTTTGATAGCAGGGCACAGTGGCTCATGCCTGTAATCCCAGCACTTTGGATGGCCAAAGCAGGTAGATCTCTTGAGGCCAGGTGTTCAAGACCAGCCTGACCAACATGGCAAAACCTTATGTCTACTAAAAAATAAAATGAAATAAAATTAGCTGGGTGTGGTGGTGCACACCTGTAATCCCAGCTTCTTGGGAAGCTGAGGCATGAGAATTGCTTGAACCCTCAAGGCAGAGGTCGCAGTGAGCTGAGATCATGCCACTGAACTCCAGCCTGGGGTACAGAGGGAGATTCTGTCACACACACACACACACACACACACACACACACACACACACAAAACAACAACAACAAAATAATTTTACTCTTCATTCTTTAATATTCCCACCAGTGCTGTGTGGGGTTCTGACTGCTTCCTCTCATTGATATTTGCTGTTGTCAGTCTTTCTTATTTGAAGCATTGTCTCTATTACCAAAGAATTTATATTAAAATAAGAAAAAAATCCTTTCTTCTCATACCAGAGATATACACACACTGTTAATCAAGGTTTTCATGAATTAGTAAAAAAGGATGAGAGTCTGTAAAATTTAATGTCAACTTAACTGTTCAAAAAGGCTACCAATTGTAAGTCAAATGCTACCCATCTTTATTATGTATAAATGCAAATTCATTTCCTCTGATTTTGTATATGCTGTTGCTTCTGCCAGGAATGCTCCTGCTTCTGCTTGTCATGCAGATTCATCTTTAAGACTTAAAGGACCCCTCCTCCAGGCAGCCTTTCCTCATCTCCTGTCCACCCACAGGGTTGGGAGTACCCCTCACAGGCTTCCACGTACCCAAAGATTGCTTCCATTACAGAACTGGTGACATTTTAACTATGTGTCTATCTTCTATACCGATAATGAGTTCCCTGGGAAGGATTCCTTGTTTATCTTTGTATCAACTGAGCATTAATTGAGTAAATAAATTGATTCTTAGTATTGAAACACAGGCTATGAAGAAATACCTTTCACATGGCCATTTGTGGGAGTTTCAGTTGGAGGAAGAGATGGGGCGGGAGCCATAACTGAATAAATTCACAGAAAACTGCATTTCAGATCATTTTACCTTTCAACTGGGGAGAAGTGGACTGACGACACAGTCTTTACAAATAGGAAACAGTTGCCCAATGAGTAAGCTTTTGCATGGTCTGAGGCAGACTCAGAGATTTAAAAAATTTTGAAAGTAGAATAGCCACTAAGGATAAGTAGTTCAGCCTCCTCGAGTTATAAATAAACTGAATACCGAATAGTGATGACACGCAGAGTTAGTGAAAACAAAAGGTTTGCCTTCAGCTCTCTCTCCTTTATGCCTTCACAGCTTTACTTTTTGTTGTAATGGAGTTTTCTCTTTACTGTATTTCACCCCCCACCACACACACCAACTCTCTCCCCCACCCCCGCCTCCCACCCAACTTGGTCCATAAGAACAGGCCTGGTCCCTTCTCTCTCTCTCTCCCTCCCTTCCTCTCTCCCTCTCTAAAATGTACCTGTTCTAGGCTCCTATTCCATCAGGTCCTACAACCTATGAGAGATAATCCAGTAAAATAATTTAAGCTGAGTTGATCATAATTCTGCCTGACACATCTGCATGTGTGCTCAGCCACAAAAGCTCTGCTGCGACGTTCACCAGCTGAAAAGCATCAGTGTTGTCCCTGACACTAGAAAATGACAAGAGGTTTTGGGCACAAGAATTTAGGGGGAGGCTTCCATTTGTTTGTCAGCTTCTAACACGGCTGGCAGTGATGCGTGGGCCATTCTACAGCAGAGCTTGGAAAGAGGAGTAAAAACCCATGGGAAGCGGATCCCACATCAGCCCAAGGCAGCACCAAAGAGCAAAGGTCTGGGTCATGAGCCTTCAGGCACCGGCCCCTGGTGCTGCCCTGAGGGAACCAGGAAAGCAGAAGAGCTAAGAAGAAACAAAACCCTAGCTTATTCTAAGTTACCTTGTTAGCTAACAGGTCATGCCTCACCAGTCTAGGGAGGAAAGTCCTGTCACGTGGACAGAGTGTTTTATCTGGAAGATCAGCTTACCCCAGTATCTTGGAGAATGTAGATCCAAGGCTGCCAGAGCACTTTGAGGAGTTCCTAGTTCACCTTAGGGGGCGCCACTAAGGCTTGGATTGTGCCTGACACACAGTGAGAGACAGAGCTGCCTGCAGCCACTATGGTTTCCGTAGGGACAGAGAAGTGACAGCTGCATCTGCATTGCAAGTCCCTGGGCAGATGGGAGCATCTGCTTAGGAAAGACAAAAATCCTCTTTCTACAGGGTCCAACAGATGTGGATCCTAAAGGTAAAAAGAGCTCCTTGTAAAATGCAGAGGATGCTTTTATATATAAACTTGAGAACGAGAACAGGCGGGCAGGCTTGAGCCTGCTGCAGAGCTTTGGCTGGGCCCTCTGGGGAGTCTGAGCCAGCAGACCCCCAGGAGCCTCTTGGCTTCCTTCTGAAGTGTCAGACTGGCCCAGAGCCATCTGTGGAGAGCAGGGAGGCATCATACTCCCTCCCTGTTCCTTTCTCTCAACAGAAAATGCATACTCCTGCCTCAATAGGAGGGAAACACCTGCTTCTTGTACCTCCCTGAAACCCAGCATTCAAGGTCTTAGAAGGGTCTTTAGGTTCTCAGCCCTCAATGTGTGAGAGTGGCAAATACTTCGTTTCTACACACACACACACACACACACACACACACACACACACACACACAGAGCCCACTCCCTGTCAGCCTTGCCAATGGTAGGGTTTTCGTTTTTCTTGGGGCAGGAGGTCCCCAAAAAAAGAGGGTTTCAGCGAGGATTTCAGAGGTGCCAGCTCTTCTGATTGTGGCTGGGGACAGCACCTGGGGACCCAGAAGCGTCAGACAAGAGACAGAGAGCCCTCGAAGGGATCCCACATGGCCAGTGGAAGTCCCAAGCTCATTGCAGGGCACATAGTAAGTTAGCAGCTCAAATAGCCTAGAGCACAAAATGGGGTACAGAAAATGATCACTTGGATACAGAAATAAGCAGTAGACCCCTATTGCTATTTGAGTTTTACTTCCTTCTATAACAGTCTATAATATAATGTATGTGATACATTAGTTTAGTTGGCATATGAATATATTTTATATAAAGTTTTACATCTGCATTAGGTGATGTGCTCACAGATGAGGATGAATGAGGGGGTGTGATCCCTCACGTCGGATGCTGAGAGACAGCTGCAGGAAGAGCTCTGTTTCTTTTCCTCAAGCTCTCTTAGTCTCTGAGCTGACATTTTACACACTCTCAGTTAAACTCACCAGTTGTCCCTAAGATGCTCCCAAATCAATTCCAGTCACTTGGCTACAAACGAGGATAAGTCTTTGTCATGTGGAGTGAAGCCACATCAATGGCATTTGCTCTTTTTGAGAGAGTGATATATAGAGATTTTCTTGTACCTTAAAAAGCCTGTCACAAAAATGTACCAGCAAACAGAAAATAAAGATTAGACAAAACACAGCAAAATAGTGTGATTATACAAACACCCAGAGGAGAAATCAATTAGCTCTAAGAAAAAGAAGAGTCATCCTGGAGCAATTCAACCACAGGCAGAATGGGATCAGAAATGGGTGAAAAACTGCATGTCTCTCTTTTAATAAGTGGGGATATAGTCACTGGGGTCTCCTTAAAGGAAAATATCTTTTCAGTGGATTGAGGTTTGCACAACACTGAGATGTTTTATTTTTGAAGCCATGTCCCTTTTTGTGGGCATTCAACTCCAGTGGCTACAAGTTGGAACAGTTTCCATTTGGCAAAAGCAATGTATTACGATTTGTAAGTGCATGAAATAAGACCTCATCTTACCTTTGTAGGAAACACTCTGAAGGTACTTTTTGACTTGAGAGGAAGTAAATGAGTTTAAAAGCATTAAGAAATCTAGGTAGGTTCTGTCGTAGTCACGTTGGTATGTGGTCTGCTTCTTCATATGCTCTTGGTTCCTGAGGTAGCTGTGCAGCACGGAGGGCACTGCAGAAATACGCAGGAGGGGACAGGCTCAGGGGCTGGTACCCAAGCACAGCAGTCTTGCCCTTATTGTTTAAAAATGACCCTGAGGCCGGATGCGGTGGCTCACATCTATAATCCCAACACTTTGGGAGGCCGAGGCAGGCATTTCATGAGGTCAGGAGTTTGAGACCAGCCTGGCCAATATGGTGAAACCCCATCTCTACTAAAATTACAAAAAAAAAAAAAAATTAGCCAGGTATAGTGGTGCACGTCTTTAGTCCCAGCTTCTCGGGAGGCTGAGGCAGAAGAATCACTTGAACCCGGGAGGCGGAGGTTGCAGGGAGCTAATATCATGCCACTGCACTCCAGCCTGGGCGACAGAGTAAGACTCTGTCTAAAAAAAAGGCAAAGAAAGAAAATGACCCTGACAGCCTGATCCCAGCTTTGAGCTCAGGCAGCGTCCTTCATGATGCTGGACACTAAGGCTCTGTATTAAATCAATTCTTCCAATGACTAGAGCTACGCGGAGCTACGGGGACTTCCAGCCTGTTGCTCCTGAAAGTGGCAGTGATGGGAGACGATGACCAGACGGGTGAGTTTGACCATCACTTTCAGAAGAGAAGTTTTCCCTGAACTTGACTCTTATGCAGATCAGTGTGTTATGATGGTGAAGGAAACTGAAATATGTCACCCCCAAATACACTTCTCTGGTATACTTTGAGATGACTATTGAAAAGTCCTGCCAACTGCATTAGCCCTGCAAAGTTGTCTTGGAGAGTGGGGTGACCTGCATCCACAGGGAATCTGCACTGATGCAGCCCGGCTTTCTAAGGCCTTTCCTTGTCTGGATCTAAGAAACATTAACTAAGATTGGACTTTATAGGTCTAAAACCTTTACCATCATTCTCTCTGGGGGCTGCTACCATTGAACAAGACCACCTTTGCCAGCCAGGTCTCCTCTTCTCCTCCACCCACAACCCGTTTAGCCAACTCTTTCCGTAACCTCAAGATGGTATAAAAGCATCAACTCTCCCGTCATTGCTTTGAGTTCTTATATTTTGCTTGACTCCCATGCGTGTTGTTTGCCTTTCGTCCTTTTAATCTTCCTTTTTTCAGTTGATTTTTCAGCAAACCTACAGAGGGCAAAGAGGAAGTTTGCCTTTGGTGGCTACGATGGTGACGTTCACTGTCTGCTTAATAACCAAAGGTCCTCATAGAAGCTTCTTTTTCTTTCAGGACATCTCCTGTGCACATTTCGGATAGCACAGTAAGGGACCTCCTTCCAGGGACCCAGGCATCTTCAGATGAGCAGTTTGGAATAATGATGGTGTTTATAGTCATCACTCATTGTCCATTTGGACTAATGGGGGTATGAGGTGCAGGGACGGGTGGATCAATACACAAATCACTTATATTTGATTATGAATATTGCTCATTTAATGTGAGTTCTGATATTCAAGAAATGATCATGATAAAACTAATAAAATCATGATGCAAAAACCAAATTTTCACAACTTGCTCAATCTTTTTTTCTTTTTCCTTTTTTTGGGACAGAGTCTCTCTCTGTCGCCCAGGCTGGAGTGCAGTGGTGCAATTTCAGCTTATTGCAACCTCCACCTCCCGGATTCAAGCGATTCTCCTGCCTCAGTCTCCCGAGTAGCTGGGACTACATGCACACGCCACCACGCCCAGCTAATTTTTTGTATTTTTAGTAGAGATGGGGTTTCACCATGTTGACCAGGATGGTCTCGATCTCTTGGCCTCGTGATCCGTCCGTCCCTGCCTTCCACAGTGCTGGGATTACAGGCGTGAGCCACCGCACCCAGCCCCAATTTTTAAACCTTAAGAATACCTTCCAGCTCCAGGTGTCCCCTTTAAAGTGTTATTGGCCAAATAGAGGGACCAGACTGGTGAGAGGATTTGATGTTATACCCTGAGAAGAGTGTTTGTAGGGCCTGGAAATACTTTAACTGGAAAAGAAGGCATATGACAAGGTTTTCATAGAATAACAGACTTATAATAATGAACATCCATGGGAAGAAGCGGAACCAGTGGCTAGAAGTTCAGCAGGAATATTACAGCTGCTCTAGCTTCTAAACAGACTGCGAAGGGGATGGGGCTACCCTGAAGTGGATATGCCGGGGCAGTGTCGCCCCTTGGCAAGGATGGAGTCAGGAAGATTCACACACAACATGAGGCTCTGGATGAGGTAATTTCTAGGCTACCTTCTAACCCAAGGTGCTAAGCATCAGTTCTTTGATTATTGTCTCAAGTTCTGCTTGTTCTCAACTCCATGCCAGGAATGAATCACGTGTCAGACTGACACCAAGTTTTCTGCTTAATTAGTAGCCTGGAGGTGGCTTGGTCATGGAATTTTAAGAAACTTGAGGGATGCACATGTGGATACACTTCAGTAGGAGACTGAGACTAAACTGGTTTCCTGCCTCACCTCTTTCTGTCACTTTACAGCAACTGCATCCTTCCTCTCATTCTATAAGGAGGAAGTATCCCCTAATCCTCACCACTGCCCCTTCCCAGCAGGGATCACACTCATTTCATGGCCTAAGCAGTCAGTCGTCTTCTGAAATCTGCTGGCTCCCTGGGTTCCAGGTTGGGAGCTGCAGTGACCACGTTCTGATTTTATGCGAGGACCCCCGGCTTTCTCCGTGACTGTTACCAAATGTGCTACCAGTGCCCTCTGCACTGAGAAGTCCTGGAGCCAGGGTTTGGGATCTATGAGGCTGTTTCAGAAGCCGCAGCTGTACTCACCTACACCCCGAGAAGCAACGGGCAAGCTTGCATAGCATCCGTATTTGAAACTGAAATCCTGAAGCTCGGGAATTTTAGCTGGAATTTGGTAATTCCTTCGGAATTCGGTGTCTGGAGGTTGGGGAAGGAACTTTTTCCATTCCAGAGACAGGCGAGAACTTTTCTTAATCTTCTGAGCTGGGGTGGGGTGGAAATGGAAGGCAATACTTACTCCTTGTGAGCAATTTCAAAGTAGCTCCACATCCCACCTCACCTCTATCAGGAGCTTCCAATTTATCACACTAAAAACCCACTCTTGTATTTAGAGGGCCAGTCAATGTGCTCTATATGAACACCTCAATGAAGAAATAATTTTATCAGTCACAGAAGGTATGTGCTAAAATGAACACTTCGATGAAGAAATAATTTTCTCTATCAGTCACAGGAAGTATATGCTCAAATGATCAGAAGTAGTTTCTAGTGAATATATTTTTAAGCCACGAGTCTGCCCAGTGGGCACAGAAGACACTGATCACTCCACTAGGTCTGCCTAGTTCCTGGGGCAGAGGGGGGTATCAAAGAGATTTTGGATAGGGCCAAGGTTGCCATTTTATAAAACATGAGATGCCCAGTGAATTTTGAATTTCAGATAAATAATGATTTTTTTAGTGTAAATACTTTCTATCTACTGCATGTCATTATTCAAATTTAACTGGGTGTCCCATAGTTTTATTTGCTTAATCTGGCAGACCTAGATGGGGTGGTATATATCATCCCCATTACCTAGGAAAAATTAAAAAAAATTAAAAAACTGGAAATTTATCCCTTACTGATGGAGTGTTAGGTAACATTGCTGGCATTAGTGGATGGCACCACTATTATTTCTTTGAAATATCTCTGCTAAAACATATTGATTAAATGCCTATGAAGAACTGAAGCCAGTGTTACAAACATTATCAGATTTACAGAGGCAAGAATCACAATCCATCTCACGTAGAATGAGTTTATTCCTGATTCTTGCTACAAAGCCTTAGTTCAGAGGCGTATCATATAACACCATCTTTATTCAGAAGGACAAAGATGTCAAAAACATGGGTTTCATGAGCAATGTCCAAACAGTGCAAATTACAATAGACACTGAACTCAATTCTCTTCCAGATTAGTTTTCCAATAGATCTTTTCAAAATAAATCCTAATACACATTGTATATCAAACCATTTGTAGTGGTACCTACTGGTATATATTTTATATCAAAGGTTATATAATTGCATCTACTGGCATCTGAGAGTATTTTTATATCAATTTAAAAAAAATGATTTCTGTCTAGACCAGCAGAGGAGGAGAAGTTTCCAGCACATGTTGCCTCTTACTTTGGAAAACTTGGGAAGAGAGGACATGGGTATTCAGTAGCCCTCGTAATGACCTCGTAAACTGCAGACACAGAAGGCAGGTTATAGAGGGGAGGAGTTTGTGGGGCTCAAAATCAGGGCCCCCCTTAAGATATTTTGGAAAACCATCCGGCACTGTTCCTGTGACTTCCATCTATAACTTAGTGCTATGATTCGAATGTGTCCCCGCAAAAGCAAACGTAATCCCTGTTGCAACACTGTTGGGAGGTGGGGCTCCTGGGAGGTGTTTGGGTCATGGGCACTCTGCCCTTATGAGTGGATTAATGCTGTTATTGTGGGAGTGGGCTAGCTATTTCAAGAGTGGGCTCCTGATAGAAGGTGAGTTTGGCTTCCTTTCTCTCACTTTCATGCTCTTGTCCTCCCATTTTCCACCATGGGATGATGCTGCAGGAAGGTTCTTGCAAAGTGCCAGCACTATGCTCTTGGCTTCGCAGCGTCCAGAACCATGAATCAAATAAACACATTTCATCATAGATTACCCAGTCTCACACATTCTGTCAAAGGTGCACAAAACAGACTAAGACGTTTGGCTTGGCTTTTATTATTTACCGAGAGCTTTGTAAACAAAAACATATTTCCATGGACATACTTGATGCTTTTACCTAATCTCTTCCCTAGAGCTACCATTCAATAGTAAATGCGTTCAGTTCCTGTATCAGTTCTGTGCTATATGACAAGGTTTTACATAATTAAGTCATTGTTCTGTCTTAAGACAATTAGTGTGATTCTAAAGATATCTACAGGACAAACAGGTAGCGTATGTGGTAAGTCTTGTAACCATAACATTTGGAACTGTGGCTGTCACATGGAAATATGACATCAGAATCACCTGGGAAGCGTCTCTCAGAATACATCTGCTTATCCTTATCCCAGACACTGAGAACATCCAGAAGTGAGGCCCCAGGCATTTACGCTGTGAAAACAAACCACCCATGTGCTTCAGAATTACTGACTCAAAGTTTTGAATAAGGTGCTACAGGAGCCCAGAGAGGGTATGAGGGGCTGTGACGGAGGAAGAGGAGGAAGACAAGGACGAAAAGGCAGTCAGAGTAAGGAGCTTTGACAATGGGTCAACAAGGAAACAAAAAGTGTGTAGTGTGTTTGTGAAACATGACCTGGCTCGCAGAAGGCTGGGGCATGCAGGGCAAGGGGGAGAAGCCGAGGGTGCAACAGGAGAGGCAGCGGGAGCCAGGCTGTGAAGGGTCCGGGACATCCATTCCACATGAACAACGATGGACCAGCAATCAGTGGAGATGAAGACCCAGAAAAGGCAAAAACAAGGACCTAGACTTAGATATCTACAGGACGAACAGGGAATATGGTGAGTCCTGCAACCATATCACTTGGAACTGTAGATCTCACGTGGAGATAAGCCATCAGGGTCACCTGGGAAGTGGTACTCAGAATACAAAGATTCTCACTCGTCATTGATCCTCAGCACTTTTCACAGTGCTAGAACTCATTAAATATTTACTAAATTAATGAGTGAACGCACACACCAAAAAACCTGGAAGTATAATTGCTATGGATTAGCAATTAATATCTGAACTACACTCTAGTGACTGCCTATGTGATCGATCCATGCTTAAGGTAACTCCTGGTAAATTATATATTGTTCATTCCTTAGCATGGGCTTAGTTCCTTTAAACTGACGCTTTTGTTGTCTTTATAAAATGTGTTAATGAGCTTCACGCATTATTTGGAAGAGAGGTTCCTGATAAAAAGGGACCTGAGCAACACCTAAACCCCCATAGTTGTGCTGAAGCACGGAGAGAAATGATAAGCGTGAGTCAGAACTAACCTCCCCCAGGGCCGCCTCCTCAGCGGTCCTATTCCTCAGCTCCCTGAGTTTCTTTTCCACTGGAGTGAAAGAGTGGTTTAGCCCAAAGAAAAAAACTGGCCCATTTATGGGACCTGCAGAAAGGTCCAAACCAAAAGTAAATCTACAACTGCACTCCAGCCTGGTGGAGACTCTGTCTCCATGAAAAACAAACAAACAAACAAAGTAAAGAAGTTTTCAAATAAACAATAAAAATGCAAAGAGAAAGAAGCTGGAGAGAAAAGGTAAGATAATTCAAGTCCACAAATAATGGCATTTAGGGATATCCCCCCAAAAAAGATAGCTCACCCTCTAATCACCTAAGTCAAGTACCAGCTATCAAGCCACATCTCTGCACATAGTTTTTAATTATGTTTGAGTATCTCCTTTGTAGGTTTTGTGAGCCCTGGAGTTTAATATTTTGTGTGTACCCACTTTAAGAAGAGTCTACAAAAGTGAAACTTGAGTTTTATTAGCTTTCTAATAAATCTGCCTTTGCTGCCTTGCAAATATGGACAATCAAAGTTTCATTAGACTGTTAAGACATTCAGAGAAAAACAAAAGCAATGCAAGGAACAGATGAAAATGTGGAAAGTCAAGTATATTATAAATATCTTAAAATTCGTGAGAATTACTACTTCTATAAAATAAGAACAGAATGCTGTTTTAAAAAACTAATTGGAGGGAGGAAGAAAGAGAGCTTAGAAATTAAAAATAAGAGACCCGTAATAAAATGTAATAGAAGAGCTGGATTAAAAATGAAGAAGTTTTCAGCTAGGTGCGGTGGCTCACGTCTGTAATCCCAGCACTTTGCGAGGCTGAGGCAAGTGGATTGCCTGAGCTCAGGAGTTCAAGACCAGCCTGGACAACATGGTGAAACCCTGACTCTACTAAAAATACTGAAAAATTAGCCAGGCCTGGTGGTGCGTGCCTGTAGTCCCAGCTACTGGGGAAGCTAAACCAAGAGAATTGCTTGAATCCGAGAGGCAGAGGCTGCAGTGAAGCTCTCCTAAAATGTTCCTCCAGGCCTTCAATCCCACAGCAGCACTCTCTACTACCTCTCTGCCTGACTAAGTCCTCTGCATCTTTTGGGCCAGGCAGGGAAGGCTTTCCTAATCCCCGCCCCACAGCAGGCTGGATGTCCTCCCATAGGCCCACAGCTACCGGCACTTTCCACAAGGTGCACCTTTTTATACTTGATGGTTTTTATTTGCAAAGTTGCCTAGACTTTGAGTTCCCTGAGGGAGAAGAGCAGACCCATGTTGCTGACCACTGCAACTCCAGTGCCTACCACATGACCCCGGGGAAAAAATAAACAAAAAACCCCACAAAAAACCATGCTTACCTTTGGCTCTGTCCACGAAGTCTCTCTTAGTAAGGGAAATAAACTGATTTGATAGTGCCTGGTTAACTTCTTTCATTGAAGCAGGGATTTTCCAAGGGAGACAGGTCCTTAGTGTCCTCTTTTGTTGACAGTGAGGTAGTGTCCACAGGAAAATGTCCTATCAATGCAAACACAATTTTCATGAAAATCCATATGGGTTCACCTAATGGGATCAATAATCTGAGTGTCTGTGTGCACATATTCTTCAGAATCCTTTACACCCAGCTGCCAAAGCAGGTGCATGGATGCAGAAAGCCAGCTGGCAGGAGCCATTTGTTGACCTAGCCGAAACAGAGGTTCCATGCATTCCTTTGACTTTTCACACTGAAAATGAGAGAATGAGATTGAAAACTTCCACAAGTTGTGCTTCCAACCAGAAGTCTCCTACAGATAAGACCAGGGGAAGAGAAACCTCATGTCAATTCTCGTTCTGGCCAGACATTCCCAAGGAGTGTAGGCAGTGGCTGCTTTCCCCTTGGGACCCCCTGAGGGAAACCCCCTCACATGCAGAGGCCTCAACAACTTCCTGAAGGACAGCAAAGGGCAGGCACTCTCTTCTCATCTCCAGAGAGATTTTAGGATGAAAAAACTTGAAACCTCCACCTTCTCTTGCCAATGTCCCTCTTTCCCATGATCTTGCTTCCTATTTCCCTGAGAAAACTGAGGCCACCAGAGAAGCACCTCCACAGCCCAGCAACCACGTCCAGCCACCACACCTGCACTGGCACATGCTGCGATGGGAGGGGAGCCGGCAGGTACTCCCAGCAAGGCCCAGCCCCACCTGCAGCACCAGATCCCTCTCTACTGAGCCCACTCCAGCAAATCGTCCAACAATCCTCTCTTCACTCTTGCGACTTGAATCTCTCCCTCTCTGCTGGGTCATTGCTATCCATGTCCAAGCATGCTTTATTTCTCCTATCTTAAAAAGAAAACACTCTCTTCACTCCACTTTCCCTTCTAGTTTCTAAGCTATTCCTCCATTTCCCTTTGCACCAAAATTCTTCAAAATAGGTATACTTACTGTCCCAAATGTGTCTTTTAAATCTCTTTTAGTTTTCAAGTTCTCTCTTGATTCCCTTCTTTCCCTCATAATTTATCAACTGGAAAAACCAATACATAAAAGTATAATTTATCTATTGAAGAAGTCATTTGATGTGCAGAGGTGAGGTCCCCACAGTCTGGGTTTTGCTGATTACCTACTCATTTATTGTTTAACAAGTTCCTCTGTCCCCTGTATTTCCTGCAAATTGACAGGTGGATCCAGAAACTCAAGCTCACTAGACTAGAAGTCAAGCTTGTCCAACCCAAGGCCCCAGCCAGGATGGCTTTGAATGTGGCCCAACACAAATTCATAAACTTTCTTAAAACATGATGAGATTTTTTTTTTTTTTTGCAAATTTCTTTGTTTTAAAGCTCATCAACTATCATTAGTGTTAGTGTTTTTATGTGTGGCCCAAACCAATTCTTATTCTTCCATTTAGCCCAGAGAAGCCAAAAGATTAGACACCTGTGAATAAATGGTGTTTCACAAGGCTGTAGGAAGCAGATAATGTATGGTTGTTTTTCTTGTGTAACGTTAGCAGCTGCTGATATTCAATGCCTTGATTAATTGAGGCTGCCGTCTGGTATGTGAACACTCATTGCTTGAGAACACACAGGGGCAGTCTGCCACACTAGCTGTCATTGGCTGAGAACAAGACAGTTGGCCACACTAGCTCTCATTGGTTGAGAGCCTTCGTGAGCACTTAGAAGAAGGGAAAATTATATGGGCATGTGTTTGTGGATGTACACATACAGTATAATATTATATACATAGAGCATAATATTGTAATCAACTCTTTTACATTAATTTTAAAATATTAAGGATGACCAAGCACAGTGTCTCGTGGCTGTAATCCCAGAGCTTTGGAAGGCCAAGGTGGAAAGAATGCTTGAGCCCAGGAGTTTGAGACCAGCCTGGGAAACAGACTGAGATCCCTCCTCTACAAAAAATAAAAAATTAGCTGGGTGTGGGAGCATGCACATGTACTTCCAGCTACTCTGGAGGCTGAGGTGGGAGGATCACTTGAGTTCAAGAGTTCAAGGCTGTAGTGAAATCTGATTGTACCACTGCACTTCACCCTGTGCAACAAAGCAAGAACTTGTCTCTAATATATATAATTATATCTAATAATACATGTTAGAGACATATTTATATATTATATATAAATGATTTATTAAATATATAATTTAGATATATATATTTTTTAGAGACAGGAGTTTTATGTGTATATCTCCAGGAGACATATACGTGTATATGTGTGTGTGTGTGTGTGTGTATGTATAAATCTCTATCTATCTATCTATCTATCTATCTATATTTCAGGGTTGAATAGGTTATAATGAATGGGTGTCACAAGGAACCAAACGGAATTGACTATATGTGTACATTCTAACGACTCCCAAGTCCATATGTCCAGCTCATCTTTCCGCCATGAGCTCCAGACCTGCCTGTTCAACTGCCTGTTGGACACCAACCAACATGTCTTCAACTAAAACTGCATTGTTCCCCCAATACCCTCCTTCACCAAACCTAGTCCTCCACTGTGTTTCAGCTCAGTAAACAACATCTGCATACACCAGGCTGTCCAAGTCAGAAGTTGAACATTCTACTTTCCTCTTCCTTATCCTTCACATCCTTTTTGTTATCAAATCCTGTCCATTCTACCACCTTATCATCTATTGAATGCATCAAGGTGGCTCCATCCCACGTGATCCCATCCCAGGTGGCAGTCAGGTAAATGAAACCCTTCACTACAACCGAACATTGCCTTTTGTGATGGGAGAAGGGCACAGAAAGCCAAGAAAACACATAAGGAGAATCAGTTATCTCCATCTAGGGGAGAAGGGACTTAGAGGCAGCTTTCTTTAATCTGAACCTTGAAGAAATACAGGGGTTCCCTTAGTGCACAGGATAGGGGCATTCCAGGTAGAGGCAACAGAATGATTTACAAAACGGAGGTTTGAGAGTGCACGAAACACAAGGCTAAGCACCAGTACTTGTACATGGCTGTTCATAGCAGCACGATTCACAATAGTGAAAAGGTGGAAACAACCCAAAGATGCATTGATGGATGCACGGACAGACAAACTGGTATATCCACGGGAGAGAACACTAGTCAACTGTGACAAAGAATTGCAGGTACTGGTATTTGCTACATGTATGCTACATGGGTAGACTCCATAATGGTGCTTTTCCTGTCATCTTTCCAGTCAGATAATTTCTTAGATGATGAACCTTGAAAACATTATGCTAAGTGAAAAGAAGCCAGGCACCAAAGGCCACCTGCTGTTGGTTCCGCATATAAAATCCACAACAGGTAATCCACAGAGGTGGAAAGCAGACGATGGGGAGTAACTGCTAATGGGCATAAAGTTTCCTTCTAGGATGATGAAAATGTTTTGGAACAAAAATAGAGGTGATGGCTGCACAACAACACATATGTACTAAAAGCCACTGAATTGTTCACTTTAAAAGGTTAATTTTATATTATGTAAATTTCACCTGAAAAATTTTTTTTTTTTTTTTTTTT